CCCTCAGGTTTGAGATTGGCCGAATGCCTTTTTGCAATATTACGCTGTGGTTCAACTTCCTTATACTTATCGTGCAGTTCAGATATTTCGCCAAAGTGGCCTTCTGGCTTCAAGTTTGCGGAATGTTTCTTAGCGATATTTCTCTGGGGTTCAAGTTCTCTGTAGCTATCATGTAATTCTGAGGTTTCGCCAAACTGGCCCTCTGGTCTAAGGTTTGCAGAATGCCTTTTTGCAATATTCCGTTGTGGTTCAAGCTCTTTAAACTTGTCATGTAGTTCTGAAGTCTCACCAAAGTGACCCTCTGGTTTCAGGTTAGCAGAATGCCTTTTGGCAATATTTCTCTGAGGTTCCACTTCCCTATACTTGTCATGCAGTTCAGATGTTTCGCCAAATTGGCCCTCTGGTTTAAGATTGGCAGAGTGTCTTTTTGCAATGTTTCTTTGAGGCTCAACTTCTCTGTAACTATCGTGTAATTCTGAAGTCTCGCCGAATTCGCCTTCTGGTTTGAGATTTGCAGAATGCCTTTTCGCAATATTCCTCTGTGGTTCCAGTTCCTTGTATTTGTCATGCAATTCAGAGGTCTCTCCAAAGTGGCCCTCTGGTCTCAGGTTTGCCGTGTGCTTCTTTGCAATGTTTCTCTGAGGCTCAAATTCTCTGTAACTATCCTGTAGTTCTGAAGTTTCGCCAAAATGACCCTCTGGTTTGAGATTTGCAGAATGTCTTTTCGCAATATTTCTCTGTGGTTCAAGCTCTTTATACTTATCGTGCAGCTCTGAAGTCTCACCAAAATGGCCCTCTGGTTTAAGATTTGCAGAATGTTTCTTTGCAATATTCCTCTGTGGTTCCAGTTCCTTGTATTTGTCATGCAATTCAGAGGTTTCTCCAAAGTGACCCTCTGGTCTCAGGTTTGCTGAATGCTTCTTTGCAATGTTTCTCTGGGGCTCAAATTCTCTGTAGCTGTCTTGTAATTCTGAAGTTTCGCCAAAGTGACCCTCTGGTTTGAGATTTGCAGAATGTCTCTTTGCAATATTTCTCTGTGGTTCGAGCTCCTTATACTTGTCATGGAGCTCTGAAGTCTCACCAAAATGGCCCTCTGGTTTAAGATTTGCAGAGTGTCTTTTCGCAATATTACGCTGCGGTTCGACTTCCTTATACTTGTCATGCAGTTCGGATGTTTCGCCAAAGTGTCCCTCTGGCTTCAAGTTTGCCGAATGCTTCTTGGCGATGTTTCTCTGAGGTTCAAGTTCTCTGTAGCTATCATGTAATTCTGAGGTTTCGCCAAACTGACCTTCTGGTTTAAGGTTTGCAGAATGCCTCTTTGCAATATTTCTCTGAGGTTCCACTTCCCTATACTTGTCATGCAGTTCAGATGTTTCGCCAAAATGGCCCTCTGGTTTAAGATTGGCAGAGTGTCTCTTTGCAATGTTTCTCTGCGGTTCGAGCTCCTTATATTTGTCATGGAGTTCTGAAGTCTCGCCAAAGTGACCCTCTGGCTTAAGGTTAGAAGAATGCCTTTTTGCTATGTTACGTTGTGGTTCAACTTCCTTATACTTGTCATGCAGTTCAGATGTTTCGCCAAAGTGGCCCTCTGGTTTCAAGTTTGCCGAATGCTTCTTAGCGATGTTCCTTTGTGGCTGAAATTCTCTGTATTTGTCGTGCAGTTCTGAAGTTTCGCCAAACCTACCTTCTGGCTTCAGATTTGCAGAATGTCTTTTGGCAATATTTCGCTGCCGTTCCACTTCCTTATACTTGTCATGCAACTCAGAAGTTTCACCAAAGTGGCCCTCCGGCTTCAGATTTGCTTGGTGTCTTTTTGCAATGTTCCGCACAGGTTGAACTTCCCTGTACTTCGCATGGACCTCTGAAGTCTCACCGAATTGGCCTTCAGGTTTTAAGTTTGCTGAATGCCTCTTTGCTATGTTCCGCTGTGGCTCCAAGTGTTTATATTTATCGTGCAGTTCAGAGGTTTCACCAAACTGACCCTCTGGTTTTAGGTTTGCAGAATGTTTCTTTGCAATATTACGGTGTGAATCAAGAGGCTTGAATTTATCATGGAGTTCGGAAGTCTCTCCAAACTGGCCTTCTGGTTTAAGATTGGATAAATGTCTCTTTGCAATGTTTCGTTGTGGCTCTACAGGTTTATACTTGTCATGGATTTCTGAAGTTTCCCCAAACATACCTTCTGGTCTTAAGGTGGCTCCCTGTTTGGGCGCAATATTTCTTTGGGTCTCAAACTGCCGATACTTATCATGGATTTCAGAAGTCTCTCCAAACTTCCCTTCGGGGCGCAGAGTTTCGCTCATCTTTTTAACTATGGGACGCTGTGCCTGGAACTCCCGGTACTGATCCCTGAACTCAGAGGGCCACCCGAACTTCCCGTCCTCCGGCTTCAGGTTAGTCCGTTGCCTGTGGATGACCGGCCTCTCCGCTTTGACACTTCGATACTGGTCTTTGATCTCGCTTACACTATCGAAGAGCCCCTCCGTTCTGAGGTTGTCAG